CATCCTGTATTTGTAACATATGCTTAGCACATTAATGTCATAAATGTTAATAGTTTTTTTTTAATGCAATATTCATTATGTAAACTTCTCTCTATGGAATAGTATTAGTTACTGAATATTTGATTACACATTACTAATATCAAAATATTTCTCTCCTTTCCTTAGAACAAAAGCCTGAAAAATAAACTCCTGTCAGGGAATAAACTTTGTGGAATTCATGCAGAAGAGGTAAGGAAAAAAATATACAAAAAAGTGTTATTCTGACTATTATAAGGATAGCTAAATAAAACACCCTCCCTCAGCAAATTGTCCTGTGGATTCTGAACACTTTATGAGCAATTCCAAGGCATTCTGGAAGATTTGCTTGATAGCAAACAATGCATTTTAGATTCCAAAAATTCACTTTCATTCCAAGAGTGAGAGATTAGGGGGGGGAGGGGATGGTGCCAACCAAGTTGACAGCCTACTAGTAATAAAAGAATCTGAGCAGGCCATGGATTACTTTTTCTAAACAATGTCTTCTTTTCTCATTAAGCTATAATTCTGGATTTGGACTGCCTAGTCCCAACAAAATGGTTGATAGTTATATGCTATATATTTATCTAATTGTACTATTTAGCCCATTAGGGCTATGCATAGCGTGGAAGTGGGGATAGAGTATGCTAGTATGTTTGGAAAATGGACCATTTCTTCTTCTATATTCCTGAATTCAGAACAAACAATTGAATTGAATACAAATTCTAATGACTTAGGAACCACTTCTATTCTAAAAGTGATGGCACTTTCACTGAATTTCAAGAAGTTATTCTCTCACTGTTTGGCTGTGAAATAGTTGTTAATCCCATTTGGATTCATTGGATTTTTCTCATTAGTTTTATTTCCAGAGCTCTCACATCAAATCAATGCAAAGGAGGAAAACAGGCATTTCATGAAAGATTTGACCCACAGTGATAACAAAATAAATCTATTGTTGCAGGTCACAAATTAAAGAATGTAAGGAACTAGTTATGGCAACATAGGTTTTTAATATTCTTAATTGAAAGTAGTAGTAGTAGTAGTAGTAGTAGTAGTAGTAGTAGTAGTAGTAGTAGTAGTAGTAGTAGTANGTTTAACTTAGAATTAATTATGCAAAGAATACCTCTTAGTTTAATTAATTTCTGTTGAAATAAAAAGGAAAAAAGCACATGAAGCAAACATTGACTATACACAGAGCCAAACTAAAAGAACATCATATAGAAATTCCCATTATTATCCTTCCAAATACCCAATCCTCTTTAGTTTCTAGAGGTTATATTTAGGAAGTATTAAAAATACTTTGAATAATTAATTCTTTATTTTACATTTTAAAAATCTGAGCACTTGTTGTATAGGCTTAGGAACATTTTAATCAAAAAATATAAACATTGGTTATCTTCTAATAGTGTGGCAGGTCGAAGTAGGGTAATCTGAGAATTTGCTTTTGTTCAAAAGGTTTGGAAGTTACAGATAAAACAAAGAGTGACAAGGATTTTGGAAAGACATAGCATTTAGTATCTTCATCTTTAATTTATTCAGGCTAGAGTTTATGCCCTCCTGGCAAAGGCTACTGCTAGCAAAAATGCCTTGCATATGTCATTCCCCAGATGGATTCATAAGACTCTGCCACACATGAATAAACAATAATTGAGAATATATGTACCTTAAGGTTGAACTGGTGGCTTTTTGATATTTCCTGTTTCCTGCTTATTTGACTGTTAGCTGCTAGTGAGGAAGTGTGATGGGATGTGTCTCTCTCTCCTTGACTTTTTAGATAAACCCCACCTATATACTATATAAAATATGGTAATAAATTCCTAATCTAAAATGTCAAACTAAAATGTATCACTGATAATGTCAGTTCAGGTAACCAGGATCAAATGAATTGATGAATTATGGTCCACTAAGCACTTTTCTCTGTCAGTCAGGAGCATTTTATCTGTGAGGCTTTCAAAAATTTAATATCATCAAATCATTATTTGTTTAGCAATCAATAAAATATTTTTATTGGAATCAGGAAAAAAACCTAATATTTCTAACATTTACATTCTAGCACCCAATAAAAAACATTAAATCTTCACAGTAGTGGTACAACTTGGAACAAATTGGACTAAACCAGACATGATTTTTCTTATATTATTTGATATGTTTGAGTTTCTGGCTAACAAAGAGGCAAATCCATTAATTGTATTAATTATGTACAGTGCAACTAACACTCTTTTTTAATTTAGATTAAGCCCACAATTGTCATCTAAAATTTGAAGTTTGAGAAAACATAGCCATCAGCTTCTGTTTCGCTATGTCAAGACTCAGAAGTGAAGTGGGGTAGACCTGGCTAGTACTAACTCACCTACTAGTACTAGAAATTCAATATCAGCAAATGCCGATGTAGATTAGGAAAGGAAAAAAAAATCAAGCAAAAGGTAACAGTAAGCTATATTCACACTGTGCCAAGAAAAGTACATGGATGTGTTCCTGGGAGTCAAATTCAANGAAAAAAAAAAAGCTACAATAATTGAAAACTGACACAGGACAAATATGACTTTTTTTGTTTGTTTGCTTCCAACCATTACTATTGCTACACAATACATATATATTAAAGCACTCTGAAATTTTCAGAGTGATTTTCTTTTATGAAAGAAGTCCACTGGTAAGTATGTGATGAGGGAAAAGGTTTAGCATGCTTGTTAAATTTAATGGACGAAAAAATTTTCTTTTTTTTCTCATGGAAGAGAAAATGTGTATAAACATTTAACTAGTGTCTTTATTTTAAAAGTGAAGTCAGAACATACGTACATATTTTGGTGTGTTTTTTTTATTAGAATACCAGATAAAGATGAAGAAATAAAGTTCATATATCATACATCCTAATTCCACTTGTCTTCCAACCTCTCCAAAGTTCATTAACTAAAATAATGTATTTATTTTAAGGCATTATTTTGGGCAAAGAAAAGAACCCCAGTCAGGAGTGCTGGAGGGCATACAGATTAAATGATCCATTCTAGAGGCCTTTGAACTTGCAATATGATTCTGGCATCCAAATGTCTGTGATGTGTCAGTTTATTTTATTTGTGTATAATTTAGTATTCAGTTGTCATCAGGGAAGCCAACAACAGTCTAAAAGTCCTTTGTGTTTACATTCAGCATTCAGTGGGGAGAAAGGCTCTTAGAGACGGTCTCAACCCTTTTTCAGTATTCCCCTTGGTAAATTATGTGAATATTTTCTAAATATTTGGTTGCATGAAGATGCAGATGCATAACTATAATCATGTGTGGTGATGTTATTCCCTTAAGTTTTGTCTATTAAAGAAACACTGATTTTGTTTCTGGGTACATCATCAGTAATATGCAGGGGATAGAAATGCCTTCCTATTTATTTTTTACAAGTTAAAAGCTTTTAAAGGAAAGGAGGAGAATGATCCTTATTGGAATAGCTAATGCAGAAAAAGAATTGTTTTCTTTTCTAAGTGCTGTCAAAACCAATACCATCAGTACCACCACAGAGCAAATCAAGAGGCTATTAGCTCTTATTCCAATGTATAACATGCACATGTGTTTCATAAGATAGCTTTAAAAGGATGTAATACAAGATTTATTATATCAGTTGTAGTTGGATGTACTACTGGTTTAAGAAATGTAGCCAGCATACATTTTAAATCTTTGTCAAATACTTGGCAGAATTGGCTTCTGTCATCTTGATATCCATTAGCTTGGTGCAGTGTGCAACTAATTTTAGCAGATAATCAAAACCTTGTAACAGTATACCATAAATGTTTATTGTAAATGACCATGATAAACATATTTATTTTTTAAAGGGCAAAGGGTTCTTTTTTTAAACCAATGAATTTGTTATACTGGTTAAGTTCAATTGGAAATATTGTCAAAAGCCATGGCTGAAATCTAAAGAATTGTGAGTGGAATGCTCTCTTTTCCAAGATCCTTCTATAGTGTATCTTTGTATCAACTGAAGAAAGATTTGGAAAAGTGTAGGATTCCCCATAGCTCTGTGCAATGAGCAGAGGATTACAACAAAAAAGGGATAAATAAATAAAATAAGCCCTATTTCCCTCTCTTTATGCTTCCAAATGGGAAAAGACATGGAATGCAGAGAGAGAGTTGATAAATAAATTATTACATTCGGTAAAGGGGATTAAAAATAAGAAAAAAGTAATAAAGCACTATTTGCATAACAACGAACAGTACAGAACTAACTGTTCATTCTGAAAAAGCAAAAAGCATGTATGAGACTGAAAGGCACAGTACCGTATTTTCACGACCATAAG